GAGAAGATGGTCTGTAACAACCCAGATTTTTAATTATTCTGTAAAATTTATACTAATATTATTTAATTACAGTTGAAAAAATATACGATTTATTTTGTATTATTATGTGTAATTTTGTAAAATAATATAATTATTAAAGATTTAGGAATCAAAGTATAAATAAATAATAATAATAATGGGTGTGGTAGTAAAATAAATAATTAATTTACTCTTGGTATATGATAGAGTATAATTTAATTAGGGATTAATTAATTTATATAGTTATATTAAAATATTAGGCCAAAGGATAATTATCTTAAATATCTATTAAGGATAAGAATGAATCTATATAATTATGAATTTAATCTTTGGGAAAGAGATGCGTAGCCACGTGTTGGCCGCGGACGGGGCTCACCTCCCTATAAATAAGGAGGCGTTTCAGCTGGAGGAAAAAGAGAGAAGAAAGAAAAGGAAAGAAAAGAGAAAGGAAGGAGAAAGAAATGAGAGAAATAAAGGAAAGAAAGAATAGTGGAAGTCGAGAGGGTCTTTGGTAGTGGAAAGAAAGAGTAAGGTATTAAAGTTAAGGTAAGTTATATTATACCTTGAGTTACCATAATATATTTTACGTATGTTTTGACTTACCATATTTATTTTATACAAGTTATGTTTTATAAACTATTATAAATTATATAAATATTTCAGTTACAGTGAACAATCATTTTTATAATGGTAAATCTAGACCTATTCGAAGGAAACACAGTAATCTGAGATCCTATTTGAGTAATGGCATCATAACTGTGAATTATGTAAGATCTTGTGATAATCTTGCGGATCCGTTAACCAAGGCCTTGGTGAGAGATAGGGTCTGGAATACATCAAGGGGGATAGCATAACGCAGTACAGCTTTTGAACATTACGTAATAAAGAGTATCGGGACAATCATGATATGCAGATCATGAAGTGGAATTGAGGATCGAGGTTGTTAATTTTTTTTTCAAATTAATCGAAAGGGAGAAGTTATAAGTTATTATAAATTATATTAATATTTCAGTTACGTGGGTTAATTTCTGAACTCTATTTATTAAAATGAAATCCATGGATATGTTTGTTTATATTTTAAAGAATATTTGACTATGACCTTATAAACAATTATATTTTGTAAGTACCACCACGGGAGTCCCATGCTTTAGGGGACTTAAATAACCATCGGCTTCTGTTTGGTCTCTTGTGGCCCTCTGTTGTTATGGATCTATTGACCTCTGTTTGGTGCAGAGCAAAGTGCTGTGCGGAGATAAGTACTACACTATTGTGGGAGCCACCTTTATAATTCGTACGAGCCACCTCTTGAATCCGTACCTCTGTTCTGACTGTCACTTTTGTGACCTCTGTTCTATTCTGTACCGTGGTTATGGTTATATATGTGTATAATATCTGTATTCCAGTTTCTGCCACTTAAATGATTTGGTTACTAATGATTTATTCACCAAACTGAGTTATGTAAATGTTTTGGCTACATAACTATCCATGATTATTTCGTGCCCTTATACTCTTGGTATAATATTTCTCATTCTGCCATGTGCTTATAGTTGTTTACCAATTTTCAGAAAATAATGCAATTCAGAAATAGCTTTTGCAAAGTCTTAGATGCGGGGCTGCGGAATAGACACACACAACACTTTTTTGATATTTTTATATATAAATATCGGCCTTTTTGGTCAATACATTTTGTAATAAAAATAGAAGCTCCAATGATTATTTTGGTACCCTCATTCAAATATTACTTCTGTTCGCATTTATTAATTTGTTTAAGAATTGGCCGGAGGTAACCTCAGTTATTGGCCATCACGATACTTAACCCTTGGGTACGGGGAGCGGGTCGTGACATGGTCGACCTCCTTTGGCATCGTTGCATTTGTCTCAAATCGAGTGACAAATGCTCTGGCCAACTGCTGCCAACTATGAATGCTCCCATCTGGTAGTCCTTCGAACCATTTGAGGCCTAGCTTGCCCAAGCTTGATGGAAATAACATACACATTAGGGTGTTGCCACGCTTGTGAATAGCCATGACGAGGTGAAAATGACTTACGTGTAGGTAAGGGTTAGTCCTCCCATCATAAAGGTTGAACTTGGTTTGGTGGAAGCTTGCGGGGAGTGGCACATTCTCAATTTTTGGGAAGAAAGCGGTACTGTTCAGCTTCGCTAAGTTCCTATTCACAAGTGTGCGCACGGCGGCATGTGGTGTCAACATAACGGCTGTTATGCTTTGATGGGATCTTGGTGCTAGTCTCTGCAACGTCGACGCCCTCTGGGTCACCCTCAGCCTTGCTCTCCACTCTAGAACATCCCTAAGTTGCCTGAACGAGTAGTGTAAGAGTATTTGGACATTATAGCAGGATGCGATGGGTGATAGCTGCTATCTTTAGTATAGTACCTCTACGTCGGTGATGAGGAGCTATCCTTTCTGAAACTTCTTGTTATGGAGAGCGCAGGTGCTTCTTCACCTCTCTAATCATTTGAATGATTGGAATGGGTGTGCTTACTATGGTTTCCCACTCTAGCTACGCTCTTTTCCTTTAACTGCCGCTTTATGGTCTCTATCTCTGCTACCATTTTTTGGATAATGGCATCTTGGCTCTTCAGTCTATTCTCCAAGTGCTGGGTGTGTGACTTTTTAGTTGTCGTCGCACTTCAGGGCCCCTTGAGCGTTTTGGGCTCCTTGTGCATTTATCTCGCGTTTCGTTGGTCAATCCACCTATGGGGGTGCCCAGCTTTGCCATAGTTGGGAATGAGGGCAAGTCACTTCGCCTCCTAACATATTTTGGTGTTAAACCGTCGACAACCGACATCGGAAAGTCATCGTTGTTCACTATTTTAGTCAACTAGAGAATTGTGGAGAGCAAGGTTTTGTCTGTTAAGAACTTCCCATAGACGGTGCCAATTGTGCGGGGAGTAAATATTCTTCAATTCCGTACTCCTTGCCTCCATGTTCTTTTCACTTTAACGGCATCGTCTCTCATGCAAACACAACAAAGGTGAACTAACTAGCGGGTATCTCGCCGAAAAACCCCTCTAACGGTCTAGTTAGTACCCTCCGAGAATCTGGGAGAATAAGAGAGTATTTTCGGTATTCAAGATTGCATACTTTCCACCATGAAGTTCGTGGCTTTTATACAAGCAGATATCCCTCTTCTCCTCGTAATGTGCATTATTTCTATTGTCTTAGGGCAAGAACATTATGTTCTCTTATTCCCTTACACGCGTGTACTTGTCAGAAGCAGACAACTTGACCATCAGCATTAACTTGGATAAGTCACTGTTTGTCCCCCACAAACAGTTAGGGCACGAGACGCATATAACCGGGACACTCTTTGTAACATCCCAACCCTTCACATGTCATCGATATTGTCTGCTTTGAGCCATGCCCGCACGGATTTGTTCTTTTTAGTGGGTCACCCATCCCAGAACTACTCCAGCCTAAGCACGCTTAACTGGAGAGTTTTGCTAGGGATTTCACCACTCGGGAAAAGGCCTCAATGCTATATAAGGGTCTGGGTTTTTACTTTTATAACCCAGGAACTCCCCCTCTATTTCCAATGTGGGATATCGGGACCTTACACTCTTGGCCAAGCTACCAATAGCTCGGTTTGGACTGTGATCCTTACCCATGAATGTCGCTTCGTGCTACCACTCAAGACCCGGTCCAGCTACCAGTTTGGTTGTAGACAAGCAGATGCCCTACAGTCTTCCAGCCAGGACTTGATCATGCTCGGTCTTACACAACACAGTTGGCTCAGCTTGATTCAAATGAAAAACATCTCAGTTGGTAAGAGGGAGCTCGGTTAGCTTTGTAAGGCAGCCTCAAGTCCATTTTTAGTGGCCTAGCTAACCGCAAAGTACTGGGCCGAGCTTGGCCCATCATAGCTGGGCTGAGCTTGGTCCCTTACAGCCCGACACAAAACTCTCCTCTTATATAGTATGAGTATGTGTGTCATCTCAAGCCCGACCTGACATCGGGCCTAACCTAGCCATCCCAAATCCGGTCATAAAAGAATGTCAAAATCCCAAGTCCACCCACTTAGCCCAATAGATATGAAATATTTCTATTTTTTTCCTTCGTCATGAAGGGTTATCAAATAATTTAAACCTTTTTAATAATTATTTGAATTTAAAATATTAATAAAATTCAATTATAAAATAAACATAACCTCTTAAAAAATATTTTAATTTAAGCTAGAAAGAAGTATATATATGTATTTTTCTTTTATCTTTTATTGTTAATCTAATTTATTTTGTAACTATGTAATATAAAATTTAGAATTAATATTTCTTTAAATGGGTAGTTCGGGGTGGGTTAAAACTCTTTATCCCAAATTCAATTTGAAAATTGAATGGATTCAAAAATTTTATTTAGCCCGACCCCTAGGCTAAATATATTTTTTCTAATCTAAAATGTACAGAGTATCAAATTGTGTTGGGCGGATTGGACGGGCCATCGGGTTTCTGGCCTCCCCTAGTAAGAACAATCAAAACCTTGGCATGGCCACCCCCAAAACAAAGGATAATTAAAAATAAATATTATGGGGTTTGACCTTTATAATAAAATAAATTTAGAGTTTTAAATTTTATCAATTTAAATCATAATCTTTTGATTTATATTTAATCTAAATAATTTTTCTATTTTTGTTAATTAAATCCGACGAAAAAAATTTAATTACTAAACTCAATATAAATATATAAAAATGTCTAAAATATCAATTTTTGTTAAGTTTAATAACTAAAATATCAAATTCTTTGTCAATTTTATTTTAAAAAATAGATAAATAATTTAAATTAATAAAAATAAACCAGAAATTTAAAATTTAACTTGATAAAATAAAAAATTTATTTTGTTAACCGAGTCAAATCGTGAGATATATTTTTTGTAATTTTCTTAAAAAAAAAAAGAAAAAAAAAAATCCATTGGTATGGATTGCCTAAACCTGTTGAGGAGGGCAAGACTAACATCGGTTAACGTTGTCCCCTTTTGCAGAATCATATCCGAGATAAGCACAACTCAACTCTCTTTCTTTACTTGGAGGCCAGTGTGGATAAGCAAATTCAAACCCTTGTCTTGTGGTGATAATGGAAACTCTGCGTCTTGGAAACCCACCTCTCAACTCTCTCTGCTTCTCACACACTGATTACCAGAGACAACATTGCAGGAAGCTATTGAGCTCAACGCATTGTCTCAATTTCTCGGAACCATCTGCTCTAAAATTCAGACCCTTTTATGGAACTCGTTCCAAGGTACTTGAATTTTCCATTTTTTGATCATTTTGATCAATTGGGTCTGTTTTGTATACTCGAATGTGTGTGGGTAATTGAATTTCTGAGATGGGTTTGCTTTAATTATTGGTGTAGTGTTTGAGTAGTATTCGAATGCAAGCAGTTGAAGAAGATTATGAGTTGAAGCAAATGAAGGATATGGCTGCTGCTAGAAAGAGATGGGAAGCTCTGGTATTTTCTCTTTTATCCCCATGTTACCGCTTTTTCCTATTTTTTGGTAAAAACACACACACACACACACACATGCCATGCAAAAAAATGAATATATTTGTGAAATGGTAGAGTTACACCTATTGAAGAGAACATGCTAAGATGTTATACAATGAATAAGGAAGATTAATATGATTGCCATAAATGGGGATGACTTAAACTAACATGGATGTGGCAGTAGAAAAGAAATATGCTCACCATAAATGAAAATGTTAGGGGAGGGGAAGATAAAAAATGACACGAAATGCGGTAGTAAAAAGAAGATACGAATTTATTTAGTTTAACTAAACATATTGCATAACCACGGCAAATGATTCATGTAGGTGACCCCATTTAATTGGGGTCGAAGACTTTTAGTTTGGTTTGGTTATATATATGTACGGGTATTAGGTACGAGTGTGTATCTCTAGAGGCTGGATTCATCAAACCTTGAATTGAAGGATATGTGGACATTGGAAAAAAAAGGATATCTTTGAGATAAAATGGTTTTATATGTAACATACAGTGTCGAAAAGACATTTATAGCAATTGTAAAATAATATGTACATATACTAATAGTGTTAAATATAAATATATATGAAAGTATGATGAAAAGTATCCGACACGTATCTCATACCCCTGTCCAGGTGTTAGGTGTTCGACATTGAAGAGTCCGTGTAACATAGTTTGTACGTATAATGTTATTGTTTATTAGATTAACCAATTTTTCGAAGTAGTAATTTTCTTTGGTTCTTAAAGCTGCACTAATTTATTGTTTGCACTTAATATCTTGTTTATGGCGAACTGAATTTTTAATCACTTGAAATGTACTGCTTCTGCTGCACAAAGGTGGGGCTTTGGATTTGGTATTGGAGGTCCAGTTCTAGTTTCAAGGGTTTGATTGTTTTGCATTATATTTAAATTTCATAGATCTCACACTTGGTAGAAGCAAGACTCTTTAGGTCCACAAAACTGGAATTCTGTGTGAAATACAATCCTGCACAGCCAAATGTAAAACTACTGTCTTTGCCTCGCAACATGGGTGTTTTAAAATGAGGTCTAGTGCTGTTAAATTGATCTGAGCTAACTTAAGGTTCACAGCTTGTGGTTTTCACACATTTGGAGAAGTATCTATAGACTATACCACATTCTTAAAATAATAATAATAACAAATCAATATTTGAAAAAGAATAGAATTGAGTAAAGTCAATGTAGATTTAGAATACACACCCACATGCATAAAGTCAAAAGCTACGTTAAATCCTTTCTACTTTATTTTTGCTCTATTTTCCATTTATTGGTTAATCACCTAGGTTTGGTTTGCCAAACCGAATCTTTTAACTGATGCTTTATTCCTTTGTGGGCTATGATTGGGATATCAGGCTTGGTGCATATGACTCTGCAAGTACTAGTACTCTTTCTGGAACATTAGTACTAAGTTGGACATGGATCATAGTTATCATATTTTGTTTTCTATATTGGTGAGTGCTTAGACGTTAGAATTGTCTATCAATGGACAGTTGGTAAGTATAGAAGAAGAGGAGAAGCAAGGTTAATGCAATGGAATACCACACATGAACTATATATTGTTCTAATAGACGAAAAAACCTCAAATCCATGAGAAGAACCTTGAACCTAGAAGGAAAATAAAAACTTAGAAATATTATTGAACCTGACCCCTAGACTAACCTTAATTTTTGTAGGACACAAAATAACTAAGAATAAGGAAAAATTACCGAAAATAACAAATTTGAGTTAAGCCCAAATTTGAATGCTATTTAGTCTAGGAGGCATGCCAAAACAAGTTGCACTAAAAGTGGAAACTTTTAAAAAAAGTTATAACTAAAACAAAACTTTTCTAAAATAGTAAGAATGCAAAGTAAAAAACTTAAACGATGAAATCTGGTGAGAGTCATATGTGCATCATTGCCAAGGGCGATCAGTTGTGATAAGAAAGTGATTTTTAATTAGACTACTAAGGTAGAGGCAATTTTGAGCTCATCCACGGAAATTATGTCTTAACCCCTGCTTAGCCTTACTAGGTTAGGTCAGCCTTTTCTTCCTGGCCTCTTCTTGGGCTTCTGCCACTCTAATTGTTCTAGAAACTCCTCAGCTACTTATCCATCAAAGATACAACTACTTAAAATACAATAATATTTCAATATTGGGTCTTTTAATTTCACATACTAATATTAATTGTGTTATGGTATAAATGTAAAGATTTCTATTGGCCTTGCAAGGTCATAGATTTTCTTATTACACTGAAACATGAATTGAAATGATTAACTGCACATGGTTATGATCAAACTTTGTTGACTAATGCAGATAAACATTGTGAATTTGGTATCTTATCTTTCATTTAGGTGTTTTATCTGTTTTGTGTAGGTCAGGGAAGAAAAAGTCAAAGTTCTGACACCAAGGGAAGCTGGATATGCTATGCAACTCTCTCATAAAACCGTACTAGATGTTCGTCCCTCTACAGAGCATGAAAAGGTGAAGGATTTTTTTTTTCTTCTGATTTCTGCTCCTGATTGAACGTAAATTTGTGGGCAGCCCTATGTTATGGATCATTGGTACCAAACCTAAATTAATATTCTTAGTGATGTTCACCTAATGTTTTATTATAGTTTTTGTCATTTCTTAGATGACTTTTCTCTAGCTCTACCGGATTGTTAAATGTACATGCTAAAAGAGCTTCATATGTGAGTGTTAATGTCAATTAGTTGATCTTATTGACTATTCTGACGCTGGAAATTTTGTTATGGAGCGTCTTCGTTTGACATTTTCTTTTCCCATAATATGAAGCACAATCTCTGTGTGTGTGTGTGTGTGTGCTCCTTATCATCTTACTATCAATTTTTTTATTCCTGTTTTGAATGCTTGGGTTAAAGGGTTATTGTCTCATTTATTATCATCTTACTATCATATTTCTTTGTTACTGTTATGTAGGCATGGGTTAAAGGGTCAACATGGATTCCGATATTTGAGGTTGATAATAAAATTGATGCTGGAACACTTTCCAGAAAGGTCACAAACTTCATGATGGGTATTACACAAAAGTTGCTATCTTGTCTTTCAATAACTGATATCAAGATTTATACTATTTGTACACTTGGTCGCCATTTCAGTAATTTATGGGTTGTTCAATACTTCAAATGAACAGTCAGAGGTGAATATTGATATGGTGTGTCACTGGGAACAAAAGAGAAGTTTCCTTTGCCATTAATATGACCAATTTGACTTCAAATATGAAAATAGTTATTGTTTTAGATCATTTTCACTGTCCAATAAGTCCCTAGGGGTTTGTGGGGTTTCTCTCTTTAAACTTGCTATGTTTCTGCAGGAGGTTGGTGGAGTGGTGTGCCTACGTTGTCATATGATGAGTATGTTGCAAACCATTATTTTTCTTCTATATTTTTTTTTGGCATTGATATATATGTGCATATTTACATTTGAATCTATTGTTGATTATCCATTGCATGTTTTCCTTTTCTTCTGCAGCCAATTTTTATCAAAAATTGCAGAGAAATTCCCAAAAGACACAGACCTTATTGTTGCATGCCAGAAGGGATTGAGGTGAACTTTTTGTTTGAACTGATGGACTTCCAAATTCCATATAATTTAGTAAAGCAATCACTATATTATTATTATAGTTTTGGAATGAGCTTATCAGACTTTATTTTACAATGATGTTTTGCAATTTTTAGTAGTGACTTCATAGGGTCTCATTAAGCTCAAATAATATGGAGAACCAACAGAACCATTTAAATTCTTTGGTTCTCCCAACATACATAAATAATTGAGTGAAAAGGCTTGAAATAATTTTCAGGGAAAAAAATTTCCTCATATAAGATTACACCAGTGGGCGCTAGTCTCCTCTTCAAAACCTAGTGGTTTCACGATAAATTTGTGATCTGTCTATATATTCATGAGCTGAGTTCAATCACTGATCTGGAGAATGACATGAAAATATATAGCTCTTGGCCAAACCTGAATGATATAAACAACTGAATTATGGATAACTTTACTCAATGCTTTAATGGGTGAGTCAGTATGATGGTAGTTTTAAATTCTGTCATCTGGGTTCCAGGCAATTCGGGTGCAGGATATTGAATTTCATTTCCAATGATGTGACCGTAGCTGTTCCCTGGCCAGGTTGAACCAATGCACTTTCGTGCTTTTTACAATTTGGTCATTGTTTTGGGATAACTCTGAAACCTAGCTACCACCTGGTAACCTCTGTGTAACCTGCGGTCCAATCTGTGCTACAAAGAAAAATTGTTTATTTGAGAATCTGGGCCAGGAACTGTCATGGTTTGAGTTGGGATTGAATAAAGAAAATATTATGTACAATAGTTCACCTTAGGGATATATGGTATCATGCCAAATGAACTTGGGTATCCTTTAGGTTAAATATGTGACTTGGTATGACATATTTTCACATATTCTGCTTCATACTAAAATAAACTCATCAGGCAGATCTCTAGCAGCATGTGAGCTACTGTATAATGCCGGTTACAGAAACCTTTTCTGGATTCAAGGGGGTCTGGAGGCTGCTGAAGAAGAGGTATGAATGATTCTAGTTGATGCTTATAACTTCTTGTCTCCATGATTTCTGTTTAAAATTTTCTCCCACTCAGAGTTCTTTTCATTATACTTTGAACTAAAATGTTAATTGATGAGGAGGCTCTCATCTTGTTTGGAGCAGGATCTTGAAAGGGAAGGTCCCCAGCCTTTTAAGCTTGCTGGAATTGGTGGGGTTTCAGAGTTCCTTGGGTAATTATAGTACATAATCTCCTTTTCTTTGAGCCTTTTTTTTCCTGGTAAAATGATGAGTTTTATCTTATTATCTTTCTCCCAATGTGAAATTGTTGCATTTCACCCCTTTTTCTGTCAAGGTTGTTTGTAAAAAAAGTTGATTTTACGTGGCAAGCAAGAAAATCCTTTTCTATTGAATTATACTTTGGTTTAAACATTATGAGACAACAAAATAAATAAATAAATAAATAAAATCAGACAGTGCTTTTCATTGCCATTCCCTGATTATTGTCAGTTGGACTGATCAACAAAGAGTCGCAGCTGCCAAAGAGGGTTGGGGCTACCGATTAGTTTTCTCTGCCCGTCTGGTAATAATTCTATCCAAACCATTTTGACATAGAGCAGTCAACTGTTAAAGATGGGTTTTCATCTTGAGAAGAGTAGTCTCATGTTTAATTGTTTCTATCGCAGGTTGGAGTCGTTCTTGTTGCTGATGCTTTGTTTATCGGGGCACAGCAAGTTGGCCGTTATCTTCAGGATATAAGGTCTCACTGAGTGTTTATGACAAGACCTGAAGTATTTATAACCTCTGGAGATGACATTTTTGGGATCCAAAACACCCAATTTTGGAAACTAGACAACACCATTCAAAAGCTGTTCTCAAATTAGTCTTTTAGTTCCAAGACGCTCCATCAAGATACGTTTAGCCAATTGAGTTGTATTTGTGCATGATTCTGCCATATGCGGGAAGTGAGTTGTGCTTTATAGATTTTGTTAAATGTTTGTAAGAGAGCGTATAATTAACTGGTTGTGGACATGTAGATTTAACTACCAAGTAATATATCGCGACTTATGCCGCCCAATTATTCATCTTACTTTTCACATAACCATGCAATTTATTTCATCGTCAGTAATGTCTATATGTTCTTACAGAAATCGATTATCTGCTATGAACTCATTTTTGGAATCTAAGCTGCTGGTATGATTCAATTCAATTCTCTTGCTTGGGGTGCTTATTAGGGTACCCATCTGGCTCTAGTCAAACATTTATGCTTAAGCTATAGGCCGAAAATGTAAACAAGGAGTTATTATTGGCAGAATCCACTTGACTACATTTTATGTTTTTGTTTTAAAAGTACTATTCAAGTAGCCAATAAGTGGGGGGATTTGACCCCACGATGATAGACTCTGTTCATATAGGTCGGTTTGCAGCCATTGCCCCCTCACACATCGGAAACTCTGCAAGTGAGTATCTCAAACCTCATGCCTAGTTGTCTAGTAGGAATGGAACTTACGGTCTCTCAATGCTTCTTTTTTAATGTTTTTGTGCAATTTATGCAGCTAGGTCTGCTTGAAAATTTTAGTGAAATTGAAATTTGAAAAATGAGTTGGTTATTCTGTAGATTTGAAAATCTAGTTGTGGTCCTTCATACCTGATGCAATGTGCTAACCTTAAAAGTGACTCAATTTAAACATGAAGGAAGAGAAACCCAGGATAATTTTCTGGTATCCTAGATTAATTTTCTTATATTGCTCCTTATAAACAAGCTGTACCAGAATGAAAAACCATTGCCCATAGGTGAATTGTATTTTGCACAGTGGAAAACTTGATTATGGAGCATTAGTGATATAGAAATGTCACATTACTAAAGTATTTGCACAGTTGGATGATAGATTCTTTCATGATAAGTTCTATAATCCTTCGGTGATGCTACATGCGCTAATTAGTGTACTAACTAGTGTACCAACACAAGTTATAATATTATTATTGACTCCACTCATTAATCACATTACAAATACCAAAACCTTTTAAATTATGTCACATCATCAATTGATACACGAATTAGTACACTAGTTGGTGCATATAGCATTATTCATAATCCTTTAAGAGTTAGGAAATCAGCTTCTATTTTTTTTTTTTTTTTTTTTTTTTTTTTTGGGGGGGGGGGTTTTTTTTTTTTTTTTTTTGAGCTTAGTTTCTATTTTCATTAATGTCCATTTAATTGCTTCTTTGACAGGCCACTTTCTTGTGAACATACTTTATTAGCATTGCATACCATTGTTGGAAGTACAAATTTTAACAGCTTTGTCCAACATTAACTTTTCTCTTTTCAACATCTCGTGTTTCTTTTTTAAATGGAAACAAAAACGATGCTGAATCATATTTATAGTCTATTTGCTTTGAGCTGAACTTTGTTATTAAATTCTAATAAGCATATAATTCATACTGACAGAATATTGATCACACTGTTCTCTAACCATTATTGTTGTTTGATTTCTTTCATTACCATCATAGTTCTTCGATTTCTGCCTTCGAAGTTTTGACTCAAACGAAGCGTGGTTTAGCAACCACCACAAGATGAGCTATCCTGTGCATTGTGATGCCGAAAACTTCAGTCATATCCAGATCATCAATTTGGATACCAGGGGGAAGCTCCCAATCAAAGCTGTGGAGAAGTTGAGCCAAAGCTAGCTCAACGGTAACTGCTCCAAAGTTGATAGCAGGGCAGCTTCTTCTACCCGCCCCAAAAGGTATCAACTCAAAATCTTGCCCCTTGAAATCAATAGTGCTACCCATGAATCTCTCCGGTTCAAACATTTCTGGGTTTTCCCAACACTCCGTGTCCCTCCCTATTGCCCATGCATTGACGAAGAACCTTGTTTTTGCAGGAATGTTGTACCCATCAATGGTGACGTCTTCCATGGATTCTCTCGGGACTAGTACTGGTGCAGGAGGGTGCAACCGAAAGATCTCTTTGACAACTGCTTTCGTGTATGGCAACTGAGGCAAGTCACTTTCTAAAATGAACTTTTTTTCTCCGACAACACTTCTTACTTCAGCTTGTGCTCTTTTCATCACCTTCGGATTTGTGATGAGCTCTGTCATTCCCCAATCTAGGGTTATGAATGTTGTATCAGTTCCTGCTGCAAACATGTCCTGCAATGACAATAATAAATCCTGTGAGTTGAGCTGAGTTGGAACTCAAATACACTGACCATGAGACTTCTTGGATGTTGATGATTTCAAAAGAGCGGTAGTTTATGAAGCACGGATATTTCAAATAGGGTGACGTATCCGTATCGTATTCGTATCGAATACCGATACTCTTTGGATACTCGTAGATACGTATCGGATACTTATTAAAAATATTGGATACTTTTTAATTATTTTTTCATTAATTTTTGGAGTATCGGATACTTAATTTTGAAGTATTGGATACTCTAAGTCATGTTTACTTGTTTTATGAAATTAGAATTGTAATATTTCTCGCATAGTAATATAATATAATATAATTGCAAGTATAAATATAAGAATATTTTTCTAATACTTTGTTAAGTTCTTTGATAAGAAGAGCATTATTTCATGCATGTCCCCTATAACTACATTGAAAGTAAGAATTAATAAGAGAATATAACAATGGTAAAATTAAATATCAATAAATAAATAAGCAAGCAAACTTGAATACAATATTTTTCACTAGTGTCAAAGAAAAAAGTATAGGGAGGAGTATCGGATACTTAATTTTGAAGTATTGGATACTCTAAGTCATGTTTACTTGTTTTATGAAATTAGAATTGTAATATTTTTCGCATAGTAATATAATATAATATAATTGCAAGTATAAATATAAGAATATTTTTCTAATACTTTGTTAAGTTCTTTGATAAGAAGAGCATTATTTCATGCATGTCCCCTATAACTACATAGAAAGTAAGAATTAATAAGAGAATATAACAACGGTAAAATTAAATATCAATAAATAAATAAGCAAGTAAACTTGAATACAATATTTTTCACTAGTGTCAAAGAAAAAAGCATAGGGATAAGTTGTGAATTGTTTTATTATTATAATATAAATATATTAAACTTGATATTGAAATGAAATATTTGCAAGACCTATTAAAAATTTAAAAAGTAAACAAGCTACTAGCTTAAATTAACACAAAATTTTTTAAGGTTAGTATTTTGCATTATAAAATTATATTGTGCTTTCTCAACGTTCTTTAACTTATGTGTAATTCACTATTAATAATTTTAAAAAATATATTTTTCACGAACTAACTGTACCGGTATTCTATTTTTTTAAGATTTGTCATATTGCCGTAACAGGGTCGTATCGTATCCATATCTCGTATCCGTATATATGCTTCCTAGGCGGTAGTAAATAACGCTCAATTTATTTTGGCGGAAAGTATTTTTTATGGGAAACTTATTTTTACATTTGATTGTATCTTAAAGCTAATATATTAATGGGATGGTGGTGATAGTAGTGACGATGGTACTGTGGTGGTGGAGGTGACAGTTGTGAAGATAGTGCGGTGACATTTGCAAGATTTTAGTTCGAAAAATATTAACGAAAAACATTTTTTTAACCTAAATATGGTTATTTTTTTGTTGACCATGAGAACGTTTTCCGTGACTACAAAATGCAAAAAATAATTTTTAAAAGATATTTTCTGCTCAAACAAACGAACGGACGGAGATAGAGAAGTTTTAACCTACCAAAATGATGGCTTTAACATTGTCCATGGTGAGAGGCGTTTCAGCAGCCTCTTTCTTCTGTATTTCCAGTAAGACATCGACAAGATCCTTGTGCTCTTCTTTCTCTCTCTTGGGATCGAGATGTTCCTTTATCACCTCATCGAAAAACCGGTCAAAACGTCGAAAAGTGTTTTGAAGTCTTGATTTCATACCTGTTAAGGAGTGTAGAAACTCCATGGAGGGGAAGAAATCTCCGATGCTGAATCCACCGAGCAACACTTGGTACTCCTCCAACATCTTTTGGAATCCATGTCGATCATTCTCCCCTCCAGCTGAGAAATCTCTTCCGAACGCGACACGACAAAGGACATCATTGGCATATAGTCCAAGGAGCTTGGTTAAATCGGTGGTGCCCGGATAGGACTCTGAAGCAATCCTATGAACTAGACGGGCAGCTTCTTCTTCTCTTACAAAGCCGTAGGATTGGACCCGCTTGATGCTCAGAAGCTCTAGTATGCAAATTTTACGTATGTGCCGCCAGTAAGGACCGTATGGCGAAAAAACAACATCGGTGCAATCATAGAAGAGGTGTTTGGCTGAGAAGATCTGGGGGCGGCTTGCAAGGGCAAGATCATGGGTTTTCATCACTTCCTTTGCCAGTCTAGCTGATGAAACCACAACTGTGGGAATCTCACCGAGTTGTAGGTGAATGATGGGACCGAACTTCTCGGCTAGGTGGTGGAGAGATAGGTGGGGCATGCTGCCAAGCTGGTGGAGATTGCCAATTATGGGTAGTTTTGGAGGGCTTGGTGGGAGATTGAGCTCTCTCTTTCTTGATTTTGCCTTTGATAGAAGAAGCTTTAGCAATACTACAAGCAAAATTGATGCAAAGAGAAGGGGGGTTAGGAAGCTTTCCCTCAGCCATTGAAGTATTGCCATTGGATTTGCTTCTATCAAGTAATTGACACCACTTTCTTTCTAAATGGCAATCTATTTATGTTCTTTAAGTCACTTGTGTTGTACTGTCTTTTGAATATTCAATTTGCAATATAATTATGGCTTTAGTTTCCTCTTGTCTAGCTTGGTATTCCTTTTTTTATGATCTTTCCACCAAAACCTAGACTTCTATGCATCTTCTCATGACCTTATGATTTTGATTGCAATTACACATAAAGACATTAACAGAGTTTACTCGCTACTTGACTTCAGCTGTATGGGAAGTTAAAACTAACCCATTTCTTTTTTTTTGTGATTTTTTTTCAAAATTATGTCAATATTTTTTTACTTTTCCGGCTTGTGGGTCGATGTATCTAAAAATAAAAGAAAAAAAAATGAAAAATTTCAATTTTTTTAAAAAAAAAGTCAAAATAAGCCCAAAAATTTCACAAATTTTGACCTGTTTTTGTCTTTTATGGATTTATTTTTGGAATTTTTTAAATTATTTTTTATTTTTACGTTCGTCTCGTTAAATAAAATTTAGAAGTCTAGAACTTTTTGATTTTATTTTTATTTTTATTTTTATAAAAGTTAAACTAATGATGAAAATAAGCCAATAAAAAAGCAAACGTTCAATGCATGTACTCACAAACACTAAAATGTTATATGTGCTTGTTTGGTAATTTTGTTATTTTAGTGGTTTTTTAGATATTTTATGAGATGGAAGAAGTTGTGTATTTGGAGTGATTCTATTTACACACCACTATGTCTCTCAATTCACACCATTTCTCCAATTTTTTTTTTATTACATTTTTATCATTCAATCAAATTATCAACACACCCTTCGCTTTCTCTCTCTCCCCGTCCCTCTCAACTCAGCCCTAACCTTTGCCACTGTCGGCCACCGGTAGCCGCCTCCTTCCATTCCGATCATCACCACCTTCATAACATTCCTCTCCTTCTGCCAGTGCCATCTCATCGCCCTTCTCTAGCCCTCGCCGCTGCAGCTGCTACTAACCCCTTTCCTAGTCCAGTTTACTCTTCCCAATCCGATCGATCCTCCCCAGCTCTGTCGTCCCCTCTCTGTCGTCTTCCGCTCTTCTCCATTCTCTACAACTAGCCCCGTCCCCCTCATTCCCAACCCTAATATCTCTCGCAGCCCATTCTACAGTCCCATTTCTTCTTCTTCTTCTTCTTCTTCTTCTTCTTCTTCTTCAAACCCTAGATCTAGTAATCCAAACCTTTTTTCTTCTTCTTGCTCAAACCCTAGATCTAGAAACCCAAACCCTAGCTGGATGAGGGATGGATCGCAACGGGGGGCTATCGAAAGGAGTTGTTGGCAGTGGGGGCTGCGGTGTTGTCATTAGGAATGAAAGACTGGGGAGGTTGCCAATGATGATGGTAGCAAAGGCTGATGGTCAATGTGATTGAGAGAGATAAAGAAATCACAAGTGAAAGGGAGCTACAGCTGCAGCGGCGGTGGTAGCGCAAGAAGACAACGATGAGGGACTGACCAAAAGGGGCTGAGATGAAAGGAAGAGAGGTTGGAGAGAAGGAAATAGTGGTGGAACGGGAAGAGAGGCTAGGGAGGGACGGCGACCGTGGGAGGTTGAGAGCGGCTAAGAAAGGAACGGCGTCGGTGGGAGGCGATGGTTGCCAGCGATGGTTAGGGTTGGGATTTGTTGGAGAAGATAAGGGTAGTTTAGTATTATCTAAAAATTATTAATGTGTATTGAGACAAAATTGAAAGTTTTAATTTGTAGATGGTGTGAATTGAGTAAATGGTGTGTACTAAGACAAGTAATGGTGTGTAAATAGAATTACTTGTGTATTTGAGATGATTTACGATTTTTTTTTTTTTGGGCAAACTTCACTTTACCCCCTGTGATTTGGGTCGGGTATGGATTACTCCCATGACATTTGGAAATCACCACATAACCCTCATGTAGTTTGTGGACTAAAACACACTGTTAGCTTTTCTGTCTAAGATAGCAAAATGTGAAAGTCACACGATTCTATAGAGAGTGAGTCAGTTTTTATGATGAAAATACCCTTTCTACCTTTTCATATTTACAAAGGATGCCATTCTTTTCCTACTTATAATTTTCAACCATTAGCAACTGGTTATACAAACATGGTTATACAAACATATATACATTCATAGAATGTGGACTTCAGCTTCCCTTAGATATTCTCTTCAGAAAAATCCTTCATTACTATAAACTCAACCCGATGCAGCTAGCTATCAATTCCTACAAGGTTATTAATGGTATGATTGCTATAGCTCACCGAGAAAATGTTAGAATAACATTGGGCGACATTCAGTATTGTTATACCATGTGTGCCCCAAAGTCTGAAAAATGTTTCATTTACTACCTGAAACCCAGATCCACTGCATACAAAATCATAGCCGACCTCCCAGACTCCAACAATGGTGCTGGAGATGATTACCTCATCATCTTGGGCAACTGGGAGTTTACTCTTGATGATGATCTTCATCCCTTCCCTCTGTGCCAATCGGTGTTTAAAGAGGGTGATGGTAAAAACTGAGTCATCCTTTTAATCATATTTCTATTAGGACTTGTCAACTCATATATCTTCATCTGAATACTTTTTCCTTCTTGTTTTTTTTTTTGCAGCTCTTCCCTAGTCGACAAAGGACTTCCGACAAACCTTTTTCCCTAGCAAGGACTTGAAAAAGCTGCTCGGCTTGCCCATCGACAAGCGCAAAGCCCCTTTGCTACTCAATTACATCCCAACGTACAAGTCGGCTTTGCCCAACGTCCCTCGGAGAAGTCTAACTCCACCGTCTACCTCAACCCCTCCAGTTACTTCCTTACCAAGAACTGATCAGGCTTCCTTTTCTGATCCAGTTGAGTTGTCATCGACATCTACCTCCCAACTTATCCCGATATCACTACGTCGACGTCGACGCAGAGCTCTACCAAACATCTTTGCCGGCAGAACCTGAAGTCGCAGACGACGAGATTCTGAAGAATCAGCATTTGACCTAGCAAACCCACCAATTGCTCTACTGGCAATTCATTTTGGCACTAAAATCATCGTTGCTGCAACCGCCGAGGAAATGGGCTGTAACAAAGTTATTGTAGAGGACCTCTTGGCCGACCTTCCAAGAGTGGTGACAGTCCAATCTTCTCCATCAGAATCTCAACCCAAACAAAAACCAAAAAGGGTAAAAAGGTCCAAGGCAAAGGCCCCTATTACCCAAGTTGATACTGATGATACAGTGCTAATCTCAAAATTGGCCGAGGTTGAAAAGAGTGCCTCTAACGCTGAGAAGAGGCCTATTGAGGACGAGCCGACCAACACCTCATAGATGAAGAAGTATAAGTCCCAGGCGGCCGCAAGCCTAAGTGCCTTTAAAGCTGATGATCCTTGGGCTCCTGCCATCATGATTGGTGATAATCCAATGAAGGCTGGAGATAGTGCCATCGATAGCATCAAGGTTGGCGTCGCTTTCTTCATAGCCATGCTCTTTCCAACTGATCTCAATCATATGGCTGAGATCAATGAATATGAAAATTTTACCCTGATGATGCAGCATTCCGTCTTGGTAAGTTTTCAACGCTTGGAACTTTTTGAATTGTCTTTTGAGTTCTTCATACTAATTTGTTTGTTTCTTTCCAGGCTATCCAGCATGTCCATTCTTTTGCGACGAAAGCTGAGGCATTCAAAGAAGAGTTGGTCCACAAGACCAAAGAAGTTGCTGGCTTCCTCACCTCTCTCAATAACGTCGAGGCAAAAATGAAGTTGCTGCTAGATCAAGCCAAGGTTGCCAAACAGGCTCAAGATCAAACCGAGGAGAAAGTGGAGGCCGTTGAAGCGGTGGCCGATGTTTTTAGGGCCGAGGCAAAAGAGTTTGAGGCTAAAATTTCCAAAGTCGAGGCAAACTTGGCGACCAAGGCACCCAAAATCAAGGCAGCTGATGAAAAGGCCTACGCCAAAGGCCAAGCCGACATGCGTGATGCTTACAAGGAACAAGTAAACCAAGACTGCAATTGAGGTTATTATCTCGGCTGGATGACTGCTCTAAACAAGCTTTCCATCCCACTGAATTCCAACCTTCGAGACATCAACAAACTTCAAGTGCCCTTCCCTCCACCTCCTAAAGGATCTGGTGGCGAGGACGATGAAGAGGAGGCTGAGTCGGACTATGTTGAAGAAGAAGAAGATGCTACTAAGGGGGCCAAGTCCCCAACATTAAATGATCAAGTCCTAGATTTGACTCATGATGAAGAGGAAGACTTGGCTTCTAAGGGAGCCTCTCCAAAACAAACCATTTTTGAGGCTGAGGTCCAGGCAGCTGAGAAGAGCTTGGACCAGACTTGCTGAAATCGATGCTGAGATAGCGGCGGAGAAAGAAGTTGCATTGCCAACCAAGGCCGACACACCGCTAACAGTCGAGGTTGAGCGATCTGAGACCAGTGCCCATAATTCCAACACTTAGGAATTTTTAATTTTTACCTTTGAATAGTTTGTAATTTTTGGACAAGTAATCTCTTTCGCCAGGCCGAAGTGCCTTTGTTTTTGAACAAGTTCATCTTGAATGCATGCTTGCCTTCTCCCTTCTTTCCTAGGTGTTTAAATACTTTGCTTACTGCTTTCCTTTTGTGTATTGTATGCTTTCGTACTTAGAATATTTTTGTATGACTTCAAAGTATACCCTTACTTTATAATAACTTCGGGGTAAAGTACCTCGGATGCAAATCTTAGCTCTTATCTCAGCCAACAATTTGAATACCTCGGCTAACACTTAAAAATATTTCGAAATATTTTTACAAGTGTTGTTTTTCTAGACTTATTCAATCAAGTATTGCTCCTTTATTTCCACTTGCTGTCTTCTATCAAGACTTATTTCTTCCATCCTTTCCAAGCTTGGCAACCCATTTGGTCATCTCGGCTAGTATGTATCTCGGATATTACCTCGGCTAACTTCAACTTGTAAATTTTCCTGAAATTTCAATGAGTGTTGAGCCAATTCTAGCTTGTAAATAAATTTCAACAAGTCCCAAACTCTTAAACTTTTATTTATCATTCTCTAGCTCTCTGCCCCCTAATGTGAACCTAAGTTCTACTTAAGTTCACATTATGCATTTATAGCCTTCCGTTGAAGTCATATTCGAACAAAGACTAGCCGAGGTGTTCAGCCTTGGTTTCTTTGTTAATCCGATTAAAGCACACTTAGTTCCATTCGGAGTTTAACTCTGCCGACATGGCAAGTCTAGGTTATTTCAACTTAATTCAACTCCATTATATACAAGTATAATTCAACTCTGCCATATAATGAGTCTAAGTTATTCATCATGTTTCACTCAGAAACATCGCCAACTTAGTTCAACTCTATTATATGCAAGTATAATTCAACTCTGCCATACAATAATTCTAAGTTATTCGTTATATTTCATTTAGAAATATCGCTATGGGACTGGTCAGTCATTTCACACAAATTTCAAATTCATCAAAATAAAATTTTATTATTACTTCGGCTAATAAAATTATGACATAAATTTCAAAAAAAACAAAAATCTAATGATAGAAAAACTTCAAGTTGCAAGTGTTCCAAGGTCTTGGCAACTCTTTGTCATCACTGTCCTCAAGCCGATATGCTCCATTGCCGACAACCGAGATGATTCTATAAGGTCTCTCCCAATTTGGACCTGACTTGCCCTCTCTAGGATCTTTCTTGTTGCCGACCATTTTCCTCAGCACAAGGTCTCTTACATTGAACTCTCTTGGGTTGACCTTCTTGTTATAAGCCCTAGCAAGTTGTTGTTGGTATGCTCCTAACCGAATTGCTGCTCTCTCTCTTTTTTCCTCCAATAGGTCTAGATCTCGGGCTAAAAATGCCTCATTAGTACCATTTTTCACTCCTTGGGTTCTGATCCTTGGAATGTCGACTTCTAGTGAGATAACCGCTTCAGTGCCATAAGCCATGGCAAACGGAGATTCCCCAGTTGATCTTCTCAGCGTGGTTCGATATGCCCAGAGTACATTGGGCAACTCCTCCACCCATTTTCCCTTTGCTGCTTCCAGTCTCTTTTTGATCCCATCCAAGATAGTCTTATTGGATGCTTCTGTCTGACCATTATTCTGAGGAAAACTTGGAGTAGAGTAGTAGTTCTTGATTTTGTACTTTGCACAGAAGCTTTTGATTAGCTTACTGTCAAACTGTGTACCATTATATGCTATTATTGCCCTTGGGATCCTAAACCTAGTGATGATGTTCTTCCATATGAAGTTCTTCACATCAATATCTCGGATCTTCGTAAGGGGTTCAGCTTCTACTCACTTTGTGAAATAATCAGTTGCTACCAGAGTGAACTCCTTTGCCCAGTTGCTTAGGGCAGTTGTCTAACAAGATCCATGCCTCACTGGGCAAATGGCCAAGGGCTGGACACCGGGTTCAAATCTGCTGCTGGTTGATGTATCAAAGGTGCGAACCTTTGACACTTCTCGCACTTTCTAACGTAGGGTTCAACATCCTTCTGCATGTAGGGCCACCAATACCCCTGAGTAATGGCCCTATGAGCAAGTGATCTACTCCCAGCATGGCTTCCACATACTCCTTCATGTATTTCATACAAGAAGTCTTCAACCTAGGAGGAATGCACACACCTCAAAAGGGGACTAGTGAACGACCTTCTGTAGAGATGTTCTTCTGTTGTCAAGCTAAACCTTGCCGACTTCAGTCTGGTCTTATGTGCCTCTTTGCAATCATCTGGTAGCTTGTCGTCCCTAAGAAACATCACTATTGCATCCGTCCAACTTGGACCCATTTCCACACACATTGTTTCATACTCTGTAATTAGCGGTTCCACACTTGGGCTTGACAAATAATCAACCATTATTGTCCTTGCCTCCCCTGATTTCATTGCACTAGCCAGGTTAGCCAAGGCATCGGCGTGGCTGTTGTCATCTCGGCTAAACTGTTATAGTCGAAAATCCTGAAACAAGGCTAGTAGTTTAACAACTTCTTTGACACATGCTATTATTCTTTCATCTCGGGTTGCATACTCACCTGTTGCCTGGTTCACAATAAGTTGGGAGTCACAGAAGACAACCACGTCGTCGGATTCCATTGCTGCTGCTAACTTCAACTTTGCAATTAGTGCCTCATATTCTGCTTCATTGTTTGAGGCTTTGAGCCCCAAACAGATAGACTGTTCCAACATTCGCCTGTTTAGTGATCAACACCACTCCTGTCCCTGTTCCTTGATGGTTTGATCTCCCATCAACAAATAGGCGGAATGAGTCATCGATGTAAATATCGTAGGGCTTGGGTTTTTTTTCTTTCTTCTGTTCTGCTATGGGATTTTTCATTTCCAGTTGGGTCTCTTCTTGTTGCCCTGGACACCCTAAGCCGCAACTCACTAGAGCCCGACGTGGGAGGGCACCAGGTGTGAACTCAGCTACAAAGTCAGCCAGAACCTGGCCTGTAATTGCCTTTCTAGGCCTAAACTCTAAGTCATATTGGCCTAACACTACTGCCCATCTAGCCACCCTACCTGTTAGATTCTTTGTTGCAGTAGGGACTTCAAGGGATGCTTAGTCAGTACCACAATCTTGTGGGCTTGGAAGTAATGATTCAGTTTTTTCGAAGTCGTCACCAAGGCTAGTGTTAATTTTTCTAAGGATAAATACCTGGTCTCTACATTTGCTAAGATTTTACTCACATAGTATACTGCCATTTATTCTCCCTTCCCTTCTCTGATTACCACTACATTCACTGCGTGCTCCGAAATCGCCAAGTATAAGAACAGTTCCTCTCCAGGTACTAGATTTAAGAGAACTAGGGCTATAGTAAGGTATTTTTTCAAGTCAGCCAAGGCGACTTCGTACTTCTCTATCCACAAAAAATCCGTGGACTTCTTTAACAAATTGAAAAATTGTTTACACTTATCTGAACTTCTACTTATAAACCTATTCAGGATTGCGGCCCTTTTTGTCAGCATCTGTACGTGTTTTGCCAATGTTGGGTTCTTCAAGTCAATGATGGCCTTGATTTGATCTGGGTTTGCCTCAATGCCCTTTCTAGTAACCAGTTATCCCAGAAACTTACCAGACCCAACTCCAAATGCACATTTTGAAGCATTGAGTCGGAGCCGATATGTTCTAAGAATATCGAAAACTGTCTTCAAGTCGGCCAGGTGATTCTCAGGTTCTTTGGTCTTCACGACCATGTCATCAATGTATACTTCCACTGTTTTGCCAATCAGATGTCTGAACATCTTAGTCACCAACTTCTGGTAGGTTACTTCTGCATTTTTCAACCCAAAAGGCATAACTCTGTAGCAATACAACCCTTTTGGGGTGATAAATGCAGTCTTCTCCTCATCAGGGGGGTATATTGCTATTTAGTGGTATCTCTTGTAGGCATACAGGAAGCTTATCCTTCCATGCCCTGAAGTGGCATCTACTAATTGATCAATCTTGGGTAGTGGAAAACTGTCTTTGGGACAAGCCTTATTCAGGCTGGTGAAGTCCACGTAGACTCTCCACTTTCCATTCTTCTTTTTCACAACAACTGTGTTCGACAACCAAGTTGGGTAGTTTACCTCTCGAATGGCTCTAGTCTCCAATAATTTGTCCACTTCCTCCTCTATTGCCTCCACATGAACCAACATCGGCCTCCTTGCTCGCTGAATGACAGGTTTAGCCAACCTCTCTACATTTAGTCTATGGCAAGTGACCTCGAGATCAATGCCAGGCATCTTGTATGGCGTCTAGGCAAACACCTCTATGTTTGCTAGCAAGAATGACTTTAACTCCCTTTCTTCCTCCTCGGCCAATCTTGAGCCGAGAAGGACGAAGCTCTCTTCATCACCTTGTTGGACCAGAATTTTCTTTAAGGCTTCATCACTTTTGTCGGCCAGCTCTTTACCAACATCATCCAGGACCTCCATGTCCTTGTCTTCAATTTCTACTGTTTCTGCCTTTCGCACGTTGTAGGTGGATTTCATTGCTGCCATGGAGTAATTCTTTGCTTGCACATGATCCCCTCTGACCTCCTCAATTCCATACTCTGTTGGGAACCGTAACAATTGGTGTAGTGTTGAGGGAACAACTCTCATTGCATGCAACCATGGTCTTCCCAAGATAACATTGTAAGGGGAAGGGGTGCCAATTACTGTAAACTCTGTGCTACCTTCTTGGTGCCTACCTATACCTCTAAATTTATTGCTCCCAGCGGCTAGGTCGACATTCCATTAAACCCAACCATTGGACTGTTGGATTGTTCCAGATCATCTTGGTGTAGGCCGAGCTCCTTGTAACATCTGACATACATGATGTCACAAGAGCTGCCTTGGTCGATCAGAATGCGCTTTACCTGACATTCTCTAATCTTGAGGGTCACTACCAGAGTATCGTTGTGTGGATGCTGCACCATGTCTAGGTTTGCTTTAGTAAAGGACACCATTGGCACTCGTCTGTCCTAAGCCTCTTTTGCTGGACCTAATACACATGCTATAGTGTTTCACCCTCTGAGTCTACCCACGTAACTCGTTCTCATTGACCCTTGAGTGCATCACATTGATCACTCAAGGTCTGTCTGCTTGCGGTTGCGATGT